TCATTTAAGGAAGTGCTCCCTGGGGATATGGTGGGGTCTCAATTGTCTGTAGGATAATTTCATGCAGCAGACCACAAGATTTGAATATAAACATTAGATGTATCTCTCTCTAGCTTGAAGGGTTTTTCCTCTCCCCCTACTCTAATTTAACCATTTTCCCCATTCTGAAATATCCATCATGAGAATCACGAACTAGAGAGACTTTAGATTTCTCAAAATCAGAACTTCCCAGCTGGCAATGTGGTGACATGCTGATATGCCAGGAATGGTTATGGATGTGTTGAGATATTATCTCCAAGGAAGTTGAAGTGACTGGTGGAGCCTTGAAGAAACTTCCATTTGCTTTTTTTGTGTGTGCTGTTATGTGAAAAATGTTCAGAAAAACTATTTCTATCTTTTGTTTTATAGAAGAAGAATTGAAAGCCCTTTGAGTTTTGAAAGCTTTGTTATAGAGTTCCTTAATTCTAAGGCTAGGTGCAGAATCCAAATCTTGTGGCTTTTGCCCTGATGCACTTTGGCCACGACACATTTCCTTCCTTCTTCTTGAGTGAGACAGTAAAATTTAGTGGCTGCTCTTGGTAAGCACTTTTATTGGAAGAAGTGACCAAACTAATTCATAACAGTTTGCTGAACTCCTCCTGATATTCACTTTATATACATTGGTATCAATTTATATAAGACTTTAGGAGAGATTCTATTACCACTTTTTCATAGAAGTGGAAATTGGCCTTCAGAGAAGTGAAGTGACTTGTCAATGATTTCATAGTTAGTTACTGAATTCAAATGCAGATCTGTCTGGCTCCAAAGCCTATGCTCTTTGCACACCATTATGATAACTACCTGTTGGAATGAAAAGTATTTGTCATCGCTACAACATACAGAAATCCTGCCTGCAGAGGAGATATATAAAGGATAGTTAATTTTCAGTATATGAGAAGAGGAAATTGGGGCATTTGCTATGCCTACCTGAACCTATTCTCCACTTTGAATTGGCGATGGCTTTTGGAGAGTGGGTGTTCTGGTGCAATTTGTTAGAGACCCTCCACAAAAAGAGTCTTAGAATATTTAATTGTTTTTATTGCTTCTACCAGACACATGAGTCAGGAAGTTTTCAAGTTGAAGTACAGAGAGACAAATTTTTACAAAGATTTGAAAAGTTAGATGCTGTAGTATTATCTCTAGACTCTGCCGATGACCGCCTCCTTCCTAGTGGTAAGAGTGCATGTAACAGAAGAATTACAAGGAATGATCTCTGACCCTCAGTTGTACCACAAGTAAGTAGTTTGAAAAGATAAGTTCTCTTGGGCAGCCCAGGTGCCTCAGCGGTTTAGTGCCGCTTTCAGCCCAGGGTGTGATCCTAGAGACCCGGGATCGAGTCCCACGTCAGGCTCCCTGCATGGAGCCTGCTTCTCCCTCTGTCTGTGTCTCTGCCTCTCTTTCTCTCTGTGTCTCTCATGAATAAATAAATAAAATCTTTGAAAAAAAAGAAAAGATAAGATAAGTTCTCTAATCACTACACATACACCTGGGATATGTGGGAAATAACTGGTATCTTAAAACAAGCAAATGAGAATTAGAAGAAAGAACAATGAAGTATCATGGCACATAGATTTGGCCTTTTGGAAACTACTAAAAGAGGGCTTTCCTTGAATGGATAATCCCAGATTTGAGGGGAAAAATATACAAAACGAGTCTAGGACATCCTAGAAATTCAAGCAACCCAAAGAACAAGCTCTTCTTTGCTAGAACATATTTATTGAAAGCTTTCAATGCGTAAAGAATAGGACAAAATGGGGCTTTGAGAGGAAAACGGAGGTATTAATTGAATCACACTATACATATAATAATCTATAAATTCATAATGTGAGGAGAAAGACAGGAATAAGGAGGTGGAAGAAGGGGAGAAAATAATTTATTGGATACCATTGAAAAATAACTAGAGCACTAATTCCTTACTCTGAAATTGTCATGTGTCCTGCCTTTTCCTCTATATACTGTCTTTTTGGTTAGTCATAACAGTAGCTGATGAGAGAAATTGCTACTTTACATAATTTTCCAGCTGACTAATGTGGGTTGACTTATACAATTAAAAAGATTATTTTGTACCTCCTGAAGTTATTTAAGTTTAATCAATGGGTGAAATTATATCTTAGTATTGGCAAAAGTGGGAAATATTGAATGCCTCCTGATATAATAATATACAGCACCTAACACCACCTATGAAATGTTCTTCCAAAAGGTGGATCCAGATTCTAACTAATTTCTATTTGTAGGAAAAAGCTGATTTTCATATGTAGGAAATACCAGAGATGGAAGAATAAGTCGAATGATACACAAAGAAGCAAACAGAACATTCAGAATGAGATACATTTCATAGGAACTAATTTCTGCAATAAGTTAGTGGCAAAGAAGGGGGAAAGACAGACAAACAGGAGGAAAGTAAGAGAAAGAGAAGTTCTAGACTAAAGAGACTTAAGAGACATTAAAACCAAATGTAACATATGATCCTTTTTTATGATCCCTTTTTATTTGGATCTTGATTCAAATGGAGCAAATGAAAGAAAAAATCCTTTTTTTTCTTAAGATTAATTATGGAAAAAGCTTTGGCTATCTTGGCGCATAGTGGACCACTTAGCGGCTTAAAACAATTTATTTTCTCACAATTTTGCAGTCAGGTCAGGTCTTCCAGGAATGCCTCTCTACCCCATCGACATAACTAGGATGGCTCATCTGGGACTTGAGGATTTATTTCCAGGATGGCCTCACTCACAGGGGGGCTAGCACATTGGTACTGGCCGTCTGCTTGGAAAGCAGCCAGAGATGTTGCTAGAACACTTGATGTCCCTTCATGTAGATTTCTTTATGTGCTGCTTGGGCTTTCTCACAATAGGACAGCTGGGATCCAAGAAGGAGGAAAGGAAGCTAGCAGTCCTCTTAAAGGCTGAGCTTAGATCTAAAACACTGATATTTCTTCCATCTTCCATTTATCAGTGTAGTCACAGCTTCAGCCCACATTCAAGGAAATGGAGAAATAGACTCTATCTCTCTGTGGGGGGGATGACATGGGAGGTATTTGAAGTTATCAAGGAATAATTTTAAAGTGTAGCAATGGCACTCTGATTATCTAAGAAAATGTCAAAAAATTTCAGAGATACAAAGTGGAGCGTGTAGGAGTGAAATGACATGATGTCTGGGGTTTGAAATACTTGCACAGGAAAGAAAAATGATAAGGATAAAATGGGATAGATTTAGCAACTGTTGTAATATCTTGATAATTTTTGAATATAGGTGATGGGAATATGGAGGGATTAGTGAACTCTGCTTTTAAGTACATATGAAAAGCTCATAATCATTTTTGAAAATATTCAGCCTTGAAATAATATTATAGTTCCTAGAAGAGACTCAAAGTTCTAGTCTCATCTGGTTTGATTTTGATTAAATTTTAATATTACATTTTCTCAGAATACACTGTAAATAATACTCACCCAAAGTACTAGCTTAGGAAAGCATGCAGAAATGGAGAAACTTGCAAGAGTACTGGAAGAATAAGAGAAGGAAGTCAAACATGGAAGGCTGCTCGATGATGGTGCTGATGACGTACTTTTTTCATTTAAAGGCAACTGTGTGAGGACTTAATGCTTTGAGGTTTTGCATCTGTCTTCAAAACATGAAGGGAAAAAAGGGGAACTGTAGAAAGTTACCACCACTGACCTCACTGAACCTTTGCATCCATACTAGCTGTTGGAAATGCACAAACCAACCCTTATATGAGAAGAGTAACCCTTCTTGAGTAAGCATCCTCAGATATATAGTCTGTTACTTGGGATTGAAAGCATTCCTAGCTCACAACACTCTAAAAGCAGAAGGTACCAAAGTAATTCTCCAGGCTTTCCTAATTAAAGAACAAGGGGCAACTGTAGATGCCTTTCTTGAGGGTATTAGAAATAAATGTTACTTACTGGAAAAATAAGTCCAGGACCAGCTGAAGAGGAAACATATTTGCAAGATCAGAATTGAACTTTCCAGCAATTCCATCTCTGGTTATGCACGCAAAAGAATTGAAAACAGGAACACAAATAGGGATTTGTACAGGCTTGTTGATGGCAGCATTATTTACAGTAGCCAAAAGGTAGAAGCAACCCAAGTGTCTATCATCATATGAATGGATAAACAGAATGTGGTATATACGTACAATGAATATTAAAAGTCTTAAACAAGAAGGAAATTCTAACAAATACTACAACATGGTTGAGCCTCAAAGACATGACACTAAGAGTAATAAGTGAGTCACTAAAGGACAAACATTGTATGATTTTACTTATATGAGGTACCTATAGAAGAATGAAATTCATAGAGGCTGAAAGTAAAAGGGTAAATGTCAGGGGCTGGTGGGAAGGGAGGAGTGGGGAGTTAGTGTTTAATAGGCCCAGAGTTTCAGTTTTACAAGATGAAAGAGTTCTGGAGATGGATGGCAGTGATGGTTAATGACAATGTGAATATACTTAATGCCACAAAATCACATTTTAAAATCGTTACAGTGGTAAATTTTGTTATGTATATTTTACCACTTTAAAAAGTACTCATTTCAGTATCATGTCATATAAAAAGTCCAACTTTTTTTTTTCAGTTAATGGAAGGAAATAGAGGGATGGAGATGGGGAGGCACACATGGGACCTGGCTTTGACCTACTACCTTTGAAAGGAAGGTGTTACTTTTATATTGAAGGATGGTCTTTTTTTCAAGGTTTGCTTCATATTTTCAATTTAGTTAGCTAGGTCTATGATTGTTTTTACTGTAAGTTTCCTTCATATTTTAGCAATATTATTGCCACCTTCGAAATCTGTTTATACAAATCATGGTATGTCTTGTGCTCTCATTTGATTAGTCAGGCTTCTTCATTAATTTAAAAAATTGTTTGTTCAATAAAGACCATCTTATTTGATCATGGTCTCTGAATCCCCTGGATTATGGCAGGGATTTTACTCTGTAATAATCTCCCATGAGAACTGCCCACACAGCTGTGAAGGCAAGAAGGACATACAAGGGGTGATCACGTTTTCTCAGGCACAGCGACAAGGGACTGAAGCCCACCTCAAAAATGAATCTTTTCTGCTTTTCACTGGTGAGTTTCCTTACATGCATCATTGATATTGTCATTTTAATTTTATTGTATCAATTAAAAGTAATGGAATTAGGGTAAACCTTAAATTTCCTATGTGGTGATTAAAGAATATATTTAGGGTCTTATAAAAAAGTCCGCATCAGAAAGAGGAAAAGGATGTTTTTATTAAAGCACTTCAGCCAATTCTATGCAGAGGCAAGTAATTTAACAGCAACAACAACAAAATACGTTCATGTAAAACAATTACTGGTTATTTAACATTTTGATGTTGAATTTCTAAGAATGATATGTAAACACTATTTCTGAGGAACTATTTTCTTCTATTTATTATAAATATGAGAAAACATTTTGCAAAATATGCTGCATTTGAGTTACTTACTTTGCTTCAACACATCCTAGGAATCAAAATTTCTTCTTCATTGTTTGAGTAATGAATTCTGTTTAATGTTGGCTTTGTTAAACTACCATGGAGGCAGCTTTCTGAGTTACACAGGGCTGTAAATGCGAGGTACAATACATTATTCCAGTCCTGCAGATGTGCTCATTCATGGGTACAAGCACTTCTCAAAATCTTTTTTACATTATTACTTTTTTTTTTTTTTTTTTTTTTTTTTAGTTTAGCCTGAAGTGGATCAGTGAAAGTTAGCAGGTAGTCATAGATCTGGAAATACTTTATAACTCTAACCTGCAATTGTGACCATCTGCCAATGCTAAAAATGGATTTCAAAAATAATTTTATTCATTTCTATCTGTGTTTACAGCAGGACATTATGCCTATTCACTGGTTTTTCAAGATGTGGCTGGGAGATCCCTGTCATTTGTAGAAATAAAATGGTTTACTTTGATGTTTGTTTTCTTTCCAAACTGCAAATAAGATTAACATAAGTGCTAGAGATGGTGCTGACATAGGTTGTAATACCTAAACAGGAGGCATTTTAAGCCAAGATAAGGGATTTAATCTTAGAGCATCTTGAAAAATAAAATGCAATTGTGAGTTGTGGCAGGCTGAATCATCGAGTTCTGATTGCCTATATAGTCCCAATTTACAAAATAATTGCCGGTGCTCAACTTTGCTTTGTGCCATATAAATCTGACTGGAGAAATCCCATTTCAGGTGATTTAAGTGGCATTGTGCATTCTTTTCTAGTCTATCTAAAAGAGCTATATGTAGTTTATATGAATATACTTCCCATGGAAATAGGCAGTGTAGCAGTAGAGACGACTGCATTCTGAAATCACTCTGAATGGTTCTATAATCAGTATGCTAATGTTTCTATAACATAGCGTGGCTCAGCATAGTGTGGCATACGTTTGTAATCCTGCTATTGAAGACATATAACCATCTAATGAGCATCATTGTCTTTCTCTGTAATGTAGGAAAAGGAGCATGTACTGAAAAAGGCTTTCTTCAAAGCCATGCCTCACGGAATCAATCTTTCTGCAACTCTTTTCCATGTTTTATTTTATTTTTAAGACTTTATTTATTTATTTGATAGAGGGAGAGGGAGCACAAGCAGAGAACGGGACATGGGGCTTGATTCCAGGGCCCCTGGGATCATGACCTGAGCCCAAAGGCAGATGCTTAACCAACTGAGCCACCCAGGCGCCCCTCTTTCCCATGTTTTAAAGCTGTCCTTAAAAATTTGCTTGTTTGGAAACATATTTGATTAGATTGAACCATCATAAAGACTGAAATATTTTGTTCAAGCATTCCAAAGTTTGTTGAAATCAATTGCTTTAAGAATAAAATGTCCACAGGGTACTTGGAAAAAAAATCAAAACTATTTTAGGTGCTTTTTATTTCTTCCTGTGGGGTAAATAAATAAAATTGTTTAGCGTATGGGCTCTCAACCAGGGTGTTGCAACACCCTACTGTGCTGTTATGAGCTGTGAAAAAGGGGTGGGGTTTCAGATTTTGCCAGGAATTTGTGCATAATTCAAAACATATTTTATCTGTGCCTGTAGGAATGTGAACATATGGGACATGCATTTAAAATAAAGAGATGAAAAAAATCATTGATTTAGTGGAAAGAACCATTTCAGAATTAAAAAGTAGAGGTGTATATTTATATATTTATCTTTAATTCTGTAGGAAAGAGATGGTTTTAAATATTAAGCATCACATAAAGTTTACCACTAAAGAAAGCCAGAGAAAGAGTTAAACATTCTCTTATTGAAGTGTAGGGGGAAATTGTAAATCTTTTAGTAAATGGGATTTTTAAGAGAAATATAAAGCAAACTTAATGAACTACCCATTGTGAACCAAGGATACTATAAATAATCCATTAAAGGTGATTGCTATTATTTGGGATCTATAAACTTGAAATGGAGTCTATCTTTCAAAAGGGAGGCAGGAATATCCTTTTATGTATGCCACTCTGACTCTAGAATGTTTCTTACAGTTTTACATTGTGATAAGCCTTTTAGAAGACTTGCTCATTAGGAGCAGGGTGATTTTCTTGTTGAGCTCATCATATGGTTATTGAGTTTAACATGACTTTGTAACCCAGTAAGGTTACAAATCAATTATCCGTGCACCGTTTCTTCAGTGATTTGCAAGGCTGCCTCTATTTTATTTGGACTCGATTCTATCCCATCGGTTTATCTCTACCCCTTTCCTTATACCTGATCTTTAATATATACCTATTAGGGTAATTCTAACGCTAAGTAGAAACCTTATTCAGCAAAATACCCTTTCCTTGTCCCTTTTCAAAATTTGGACTTTTTTAAGTCTTTATGCTTCTAGGTAAATTTCAAATTATATGAAATCTTTGATGGGATTTTGGTTAAAATAGACTTAGTCTCACATCAGCTTTAGGGGAAATTGACTTAATTACGGAGTTGAGTCCTCCCCTCCACAAACACGTGTAGCTTTTCATTGATCCTGATTTTCTTTTATCGAAGATTAAGATATTTTATAATTTGCTCTTTAAAATTCTTGCACATCTTTTACTAAATTTGTTGCTAAGGGCCTAAGAATTTTGGTTCCTGTTATGATTACTTTTTCCTAATCTGTTTCTGCTGATTTATAGATACATTTATGGACTTCCTGATATTGATACTGCAAGTATATAATTTTGCTGAATTGTAAAAATTCTGGTAGTCTATGTTTTTTTTTCTTAGATTTCCATACAGATAATCTGTAAATTTTCCTCTTCTTTAGTAATTGTATCATTTTCAACTTTTCTTTCACTTCTGTCACATTGACAAGAATGCTATACCAGCAGGCATCCTAGACTTGTTTCTCACGTTCATGTAGTTATTCCTAATTGAGTCATCCTGAGGCTTTTGATAAATAATCCCAATGAGGTCAAGGAAGTCCTGTCTCTTCCCCATTCACTAGATTTTATCACAGATGAATAATAAATTTTTTGAGTGCCTTAAAACATTTATTGAAATAATAAGTTTTCTGTTTAATATTTTAAAAAGACATCCAAATGTTGAAACATCCTTATTTATATTCTCGTATTAAATATGGATTGACCATGGTATATTTTTATGCAGACTACTAAATTTAATTAAATGTTCTATGTGTTTTCTATTTACCCTTGTATGCTCCACCATGGATAGACTCTGCAGTATTTTCTAATTTTTTCAAAGGTCTAGAGTTAATCCTAATTTTTTAGTTTTTTTAATATAAATTTCTTTGATTATATTACTCATTTCAGGATACTGTAATTGTTTATTTTTTGTTGCTCTCTGATATTCTTGTTTCATTTCTGCCAGTTTGGTTTCATCATAGATTATTTATAAATGGATATTACTTTTTTAATTTTACTCTGTGAAGATCACATTCTTTCTTAAATATTTTTCCATCATTTTGATTTTAATTTTATCTGGAATGAAATGGTTTTATTTTCAGATTGTCAATTCAGCTAGTGCTATTTCTCAGCATTTAATCCCTTCATGTGTTTTGGTTAATGTTGGATGATAAAACTCTTTCTCTTTTCTCTATTTCTCTGTCGCTCCCTCTCCCTAGTCCTCCGTTCCCCTCAACCTACACCTTCCTCCCTCTCTTTTTCTTTCCTCTCTGCCCTCTTCACCTTTCTACATCTAGTTGTGAGGCAAGACCTCAAGTCCCTCTGAGGCTGTGGTTCAGAACCAAGAATTACATTGCTGGTCCAGGGATCTTATCCTGAGGTGATAGTTGGTGTATGGCTGATCCAGTCACTGAACCAGTTGGCTGCTTGCTTATTTCAGATCCCATCTTGCTGGCTGTGTTGATAAATTTCACTTTTCTGGCCTACACCTTCCTAGAAGCAAGGGCCCCAGCAGCTATTGGAAGGAGCTTTTTTTCAACCTCCTTTCTAACTATGAGTGCTGCTAGATTTTAGCATGAAGTTCCTTTATGTGGATGATATCCCCTACACTTCACCCCACAAAGCCCTAGTCAATACTACCTGTTTGTGGATGGACACCGAAGAGGTCCAAAGTTTTATATTCACTCACCACTTTGTGTTTCAGTTAGATTTTGTGTCCCTACATGATTAGGTATTTTAGAGCATACATGATTTAAGTCTTTTTAATTTTCCCAACAATTTGCCATGTGTTTTGAGCAGAGGTTGTTTACAACACAAAACTACAGAACATTTTAGTTTAATGTTCTAAAGGTAGATGATGTGGGGTGCCTGGGTGGCTCAGTGGTTGAACATCTGTTTTTGGTTCAGGTTGTGAGGTCCGGGTATCAAGTCCCACATGGGACTCCCCACAGGGAGCCTGCTTCTCCCTCTGCCTATGTCTCTGCCTCTCTCTCTGTGTCTCTCATGAATAAATAAATAAAATCTTTAAAAATAAATAAAGGTAGATGATGCAAATGCAACTCAATCTTAGTTTATATTATAATAAAATTCATTTTTAAAGATGAGAACATTTTCAATGCAACACTATAGTTCTACTCATTGTTTCACATAAGAAAACTCTTTCATAATTCAACAGACCTTTATATTAATGACACCACTATTGGCGTTACTCATAACTATAGAAATTTCCCATATACTAAGTGTATGCCTCTCTCCCTTTATACTGTTTCCAGATGACATCACAACTATATCAATTTTGTCTCACAAGGTGAAAATATAACTAGTTAATTCAGTTAGTAAGTTTTCTTCTCAAATTCAAAGAAAAATTATTATGTGGTTCACAATTGTTTTATTTATATATATTTATTTAAGGTTTTATTTATTTATTCATGAGAGGCACACAGAGGAAGGCAGAGACATAGGCAGAGGTAGAAGCAGACTCCCTGTGGGGAGCCTGATATGGGACTTGATCCAGGACCCCAGGATCATGACCTGAGCCAAAGGAAGAAGCTCAACTGAGCCACCCAAGTGCCCCTGGTTCACAATGATTTTAAATGCAAAATCGTACATTTTAAAATTTACTCTTCTGTAAAAGAATGAAAACAAATACATAATATTATTTATTAATATAAATACCATAAATATTATTATCTTTATTGTACTTGTGAAATACTTTTTTTGCTGTTTCAGAGCACACCCTGTAAATTCATTTTATCCTGGCAGTTACTCTGTAACATGAACAAAACTGCTACTTTACCATTGAAGAAGCTAAAGTACACATTGTGTTTCTTCTACAAGGACACAGAACTAATTAGAGGGATATGTGTATCTAACACCTGTGACCTGACACCCACCGCAGTTTATTGCTGTGCACATTGGCATCTATTTAGTTGTACCTTGAAGTTGATGTCTTCATCACCCTTTTTGAAAAACTGCCTCATTGTGCACAATTGTTCCCCAACAGTTGAGTTTTGTTTAAATTCCTGGCTCTGTAGAGAGTGCTGAGAATGCCTTTCTTTGCTGCCTTGTTCACTGTTGAAAACTGGCATACCATTAACTCTTCATCTCTATGCCCAGGACAATTTAGATGGGATACTTTGTAAAAGGGGGTAGATAGGTTAGAAGACTTTTTAAGGAGAGGTGCCTAGATGGCTCTGTATTATAGGTGACCAACTCTTGATTTTGGCTCGGGTCATGATCTCTAGGTCTTGAGATGGAGGCCTGAGTCATGCCTCATGCTCAGAGATGAGCCTGCTTGAAATCCTCTCCCTCTGTTCCTCCCTCTGCTCATGTGCTCTCTCTCTCTAAAATAAATAAATCTTTTTTAAAAAGCACTTTTCAATGAAAATATCATTTTATTATTTCTTGCCTCATAAATCTCTTTTATTACAGGAAGGCTCTATGGACAGCTTATATGAGCCAGTCCCAGAACAACAAACTAACCAAGAAAGCACCTCTGTCGGGATTGGTTCTCTTATCTCACCTATTGGAGAGAGTGGAAAAGCACACAACAATCTCTTCATGGTGAGTGAAGCCTTGAGTTGAGCGGATTGCTTCTCTATTATATATTTAGAATCACTTGCCTCATGATACCTGTTTTTTTTTAAAGATTTTATTTATTAATGAGAGACAGAGAGAGGAAGAGAGAGAGAGACAGGCAGAGGGAGAAGCAGGCTCCATGGAGGGAGCCCGATGTGGGACTTGATCCTGGGTCTCCAGATCAAGCCCTGGGCTGAAGGCGGCACTTAACTGCTGAGCCACCCGGGCTGCCCATGATACCTGTTAATATGGCAAAAATCACTATTCTCAGAAAGCTCTTCATTTACTTTTAGTTTCTGAGCTTTTCATTGTTGTCTCTTTCATGACTTTAGCTTATTAATATGAACCACCATTTATAGAGTATGTAGTAGGTGATTACATAAGTTAACCCAGTTAATCCTCAAAGCAAACTTAGGACAGAGAAATAACTACATTATTTTTTGAGATTAGGAAACTGAAGGAGAGAAAGCAAAATAACTTGCTACAGGCTATAAACCATGAAGTGTTAAAGCTGTCAATTAAAGATATATGAGATACTATAAAGATATATGAGTCTGCCTCAGTAGTGCATTGGTAAACCAGGTCTTTGGGATGGATGGAGGGAACCCTAGGTTTGTTCCGTTTGCTGATTGCCATGGTGTAAATGCTCCTCCCTTGGTCATTTTAAGCTACCAGTGGTTTAATAACAGGCTTACAATACCTGAATATATATTTGTTCATTATCTTCAGTGCCAACTGCAATACACCCTGGTGGCTTTAAAATCTGTGCTAACCACTTTACTAAGCTGCTCCTAAAATTTAAGGACACACACCGTGAACTTACAAAACATGAATATTACTAGAATGCAAATGCAGATAGTTTTTTTGAATTATCTTTATAATTACTAGAGGCAGAGAGTTCTCGGTGCTCTGCAAAATTGGCCCTGTCCCTGTTTAACAGTGCTGGCTGTTCTCATAGTTGATTGTGCTGTATTTAAATTAATCCCATCCTGGGACGCCTGGGTGGCTCAGCGGTTAAGTGCATCTGCCTTTGGCTTAGGGCATGATCCTGGAGTCCCGCGATCGAGTCCCACATCGGGCTGCCTGCATGGAGCCTGCTTCTCCCTCTGCTTTTCTGTGTGTGTGTCTCTCATGAATAAATAAATAAAAGCTTAAAAAAATAAAAATGATAAATTAATCCCGTCCTAACAAACTTATTTTCCTTATATTTTGGCTTAGTGCAATACAGAACATCCTGTCTGCTACAAATAAAGAACTTCCCTATGCTTAGAGATTTAGATGCCATCTTCTACCCTTACAATTATACTTTTCCCCAATAACAACACAAAGATTACTCTCCGCTTCCTTTTTTGTAAGGCACTGTATTAGGTAATGTTATGTATGGCATTATTTGTGTTGATCCTCACAATAACTTTAGAAATGTTTAGAAATGTTGAGAAAGGTTACATAACTTCCCCTGTTAAAAAGAAGATGACCCAGGACTCAAATCCAGAAAAGTACCTTCAAGTTGTATATCTGCCTTCATACATACCAATTTTATTCCTTGGGGACATTCTTTGAAAACTTCTTTTTTATATAGCTTACGGATGTAAGCAATGTAGCATTTGTTAGCAAGCAAGTTCAATAATAAGTCTCAGTTGGTAAAAAAATAATCCAAAAACATTTTATTGTAGTGGAAACTCTTCCCTCAATCTATACCTTTTCAATATCCATGAAGATGTTGATCTTGACAGATATGCATAAGAGGAAGCAGGAATACATTTTACATAGTAATCTGAGAGAGTAACACTTACGTGGAGACTCTCAATTAACATTGCAAAATGTTTGTAAGCATTTTTACTCTATAATTAAAAAGAAAAAATGAATAGGTTGAAGAGCCTGAAGATATTTTCTTAAAAGTATTAGTTTAATAAATATGCATGAAAAATAAACAAGTTCATGGCCAAGCAGTCTACTAGAATTTTTATCAAACTCCTTACATTCCAAAGTGGATGAGAATAATGAAAACATGATTAAATTTCTATAACTCTCTCTCCAAGTATATATATATATATATACACAATATATATACATGTATATGTGTACATGGATATCATGTATATAGATATATATGTCTCCATATTTAATTTTAAAATCTGTGCATATATATATACAGCATAAATTTGAAAAGCAACCAGTTCAACCACTGATTCTACTATTAACTGTTAAATTGTACTAGTCCTTTCAAATTACCACTGACATTTTATTCCTAATAATAATGATTTCACAGCTTGGTTAAAACAAAATCAGTCTTTTAATAAAATGACATTTAGTGGTTTAGAACTTTCCCTCTGAGCCTCTGAAGAATGGATTATTTTTTCCTCCTAGTATTCTCACTGTCTCCCCCTCCTCCCTAATTCAAGAAAAAAAAAGTTTTGGACTAGTCTTGGCAATATCAGAAACAGTTATTATTTTTGGATTCATTTTCTAGAAATACTACAAAAACATTCCTAAGGTTCATGGAGTTATATCTCAAGCTTCCAGTCCTCAACCCAAATGTATCTGCAACCTTCTGGAGGAGGAAAGTTGCTCTCATACTGACTTTTTAGAACCAACTAGATAGTATATCTAGTTGTTACAATAGAAAATAATAGCCCCTACTAAAAATAATATCATTTGTCACATGAGTTGAAAAGAAAAATAAGAGACACCTAGTTAGCTCAGTCAGTTAAGCTTCCAACTCTTGATGTCAGCTCAGGTCATGATCTCAGTAATATGATATCAAATCCTGCATTGGACTATGCATTAGTGTGAAGCCTGCTTGAGGTTCTCTCTCTCCCTCTGCTCCTCCTGACCTTACTCTCTCCCTTTCAAAAAGGAAAGAAAGAAAAGAAAAAAAGAAAAGAAAAGAAAAGAAAGAACGAAGGAAGGAAGGAAGGAAGGAAGGAAGGAAGGAAGGAAGGAGAAAAGAAAGGAATAAAAAGAAAAGAAAAACAAGACAAATTCCAGGCTTCTTGGCTTCCCTTAAACAAGTTGTATTTATTCATATTTATTAGGAGTTTTGTGATGTAGAAAATACTGTTTCAAGCAATATGTGGAGTTATATAGATGAATATAAGATAATCCAGACTCCCAGAGGAGATGATATACTGTAGATCATCTTCACATTAAAGGGCTGAATAGGCATTAAAGGGAAAATAGTTTATTTGGAGATTTTTAAATTAAAAAAAAATTAATTGAAGTATAGTTTAGAAGTACTGTTAGTTTCAGGTGTACACCATAGTGATTTGACAATATATACATTATGATATGCTCACCATGATAAGTATAGTTACCATCTATCACCACACAAAGTCACTACAATATTATTGACTATATTCCCTATGTTCTACTTTTCATCTTTGCAACTTATTTTATAACTGGAAATGTATACCTCTTAATCCTCTTCACCTATTTTGTCTATCCTCTACCCCCTTCCCCTTTGGGAACCACTAGTTTATTCTTAATGCTTATGAGTCTCTCTTTTTGATGTCATTTGTTTGTTTTTTAGATTCCACGTATAAGTAAAATCATATGGTATTTTGTTTTTCTGACTTATTTCACTTAGCATAATACCTTCTAGGTGCATTATTGTTGTCACAAATGGAAAGATTTTGTTCTTTTTAGGACTGAGTAATATTCCATTGTGTGTATGTACCACATCCTCTTTATCCATTTACCTATTGATGGTCACTTAGTTATTTCCATATCCTGTCTATTATAAACAATGCTACAATAAACATAGGTATGCATGTATCTTTTTGAATTAGTGTTTTCATCCTCTTTGGGTAAATACACAGAAGGGGAATTAATTAGATCTCATGGTATTTGTATTTTTAGTTTTGGGGGGAACCTACATACTGTTCTCCACAGTGGCTGTAACAATTTACATTCCTAATAGTGCATGAGGGATCTCTTTTCTCCACATCCTTGTCAACAATTGTTATTTCTTGTCCTTTTGAAACTACCCATTCTGACTGGTATGAGATGATATCTTGTGGTTTTGACTTAAATTTCACTGATGATTAGTGATGTTGAACATCTTTTCATGTGTCTTTTGGCCATCTGCATGTCTTCTTTGGAAAAACGTCTATTTAGTATCTTGGGATTTTAAATGAGGAACATCTGAAACATCCAGCTTCCATTTTAATTGTGTTCCAGGAGGGGTTGGTAATGGATATCTGGTCCAAAGATAAATAAATTTAAAATACAAGACTTTATTAAATTTCATGAAGAAGAATAATAAGTGATCCACTTGTATATTAGCAAAGCCAGAGTGCTTTGGAGAGCTACTACCAAAAAAAAAAAAAAATGGGTAAAGATTTTATGGAGTAAATAATCATACAACTAAGTAAATATGCTGAAACTGTACTAATATACTAGCTTAACTAAGGATTGACTACTTTGTTATTATATTAGTTAAAATGTAGGTCATCATGGCTTGATTCTGTACCACTTTTAGTACTTCTTTATTATGTCTGAAGCTAATAAAATATCTTGATTTAGAAATAGAGTGAGAACATAAAATGCTTGTATCTCTGCCAACTGGGGGTTAACTGGTTCAGTCCTGAATTATCTGGTTTGCCATCTATATTGACTGAAGTAAGCAAATGATTGTCAATTTTTGCTTCCATTTTGTAACTCATAAATTCGTAAGAAATTTGAGCCTTCTCAAAAATGAGCTTTAATGTGAGGTAGGGGCAATGTTCCTATTATTTATACTCATTCAATAAATACTTCAATTTATACTTCAATTGAATTTATTCAATAAATTCAATGTACAAATACTCATTCAATAAATACTTGTAAGCTAAATGAATAGATTGGTGAAGTTCCATTAATCAAGCTAAAGAAAGCCTCAATAATGGAGTATGTAGGATGTAGTGTCAAAAAGCATGAGCTTTGGAGTTGGATAAATAACAGTTCTCATTCTGACTCTGCCACTTCTCTATAGAATGAGAACAATC